GGAGCTGGCGTTTGCGAGGACGTATGGCGATGCCCGGGGCTTCATTGGAGCCTCTTTCTCCTCAATACGGTTCTCGACAGGATCCTGTTCCACTGCCTCGCAAACCTGCTTAAAAGATCTTGAGAAACAGAAGCTCCAGCAGCGGAGATTTCGATGCGCAGAAGTGATGACACACCATACAGCCGTGGATAGTGCTCTCCAAACAAGCGACTGCTCCCAGTTTGTCATATAAGGCGCTAGCAGCTTGTTTGCACTTGTGAGATCTCTCGCAGCTTCATCCCGGACAGCCTGTGACATCCTCGGCCCAGCTCGTCGAGGGAATGACCTGCCAGAGACATGCTGGATTCACGGCATTGTCTCGGGGGCGCGCCACCGGCGACAAGAGCAGCTCCAGTGGGTCTCTCGCGGGATCAGCCTGGAAGCCGGAGAAAGGCTCCCAACGACCCTGCCACTCCTCGAAGGAAGAAAATGTGGTCAATGAGACGCTGACCAGGTCAAGCCCCGGCGGACGAGAGTCAACAATGGCTCCAGCGACCTCTGGAAGGTCGGAAGAAGTGGTCCGACTCATCTGAGCTCGTTCTTGGCGGTGATATTGTACACCGCCGAGAGGAAGCTCGGAATGGGTCTTGAGCGTCGCCGCCACCACCACTCCTCACCGGCCGCCCCGGAGTGCCCAGAAGAGATTCCGGCACTCGTTCGGCCGCGAGCTCTACCCCGTACTAGAGAAAGTTGTCCGCCGAGAGGCCGAAAGCCGGAGAGATTGGGCTGCGCCCCGCGGCTTGGGTGTATCCTCTAGCAGCTCCCACGTAGGAGGCCTTCCGCTCGAAGGTCTGAAGGTCTGCGAGTAGAGCTCCTCGAGGCATCGATCTGGAACGAAGCTGTCGTGGAAGGTGATGTTCTTGAGGTGGCCGTAGGCCCACTACAGCAAACAAGCCTGCAAGCAAGCGCAAGAGAAATGGAGCTTTCCCTTCTGCCTGCCACGAACTGGGAAGCAAGCGGAACCAGCGAGCGCTGCTTGATCGCCTCCCTGCTCGCAAGGCGCGGTTCCAATCTACGTAGCCAAAGTCACGACTCACTCCCACGTCCACCGTGAGCTTCGCCTCCAGGCACAAGCTGACGCTCGCGATCAGCACGACTATGATCATGGCAAGGTAGATTGCCGAGTTCCACGCTTGGGGATCTGGCCAGCACTTGTCAACAGCGGTATAGCAGCAATCGAGATGGAGTGATTGTGACGAGGTAGTGATCGCCACCATAACAGAAGCGTGGACATCTTTTGTGACTCGAGTAGTATAAAGTGTTATTGAAGCATGAGACTCTTAACATGCCACCTTCTAAGACGACTCGAGAACTTTTCTCCAATCCGTCCATCAAACCAAACCTTACAATCTAGAGGAGGTAACTTTGTCCTGGAATTTGTGTGCCACCAGAGCCGACCATGGGCATTTGAGATCCACCCGGCATCATCTGCGGAGGTTTGCTCTGTTGTGCGGTCACGAACACCTCACAGGCTTTGAGAAAGATGTGCTTACCTCTGGAAACAGCATTCCAATCATTCGCTGTGGTTTATCAGCGCTGGCAAGCAGCAACGTCTGCGAGGGGAGCTAAATGACAGCACACTGGAAGTAAAACAAGGAAAATCAGTTGCCCTGGAGAAGAATTTTTTTTCTATATGTACCAGTTTTTTATCTGCGAGCTGCTGGAGGAATCCATGTTGATTTAGTGGCCTGAAAACCAGAAGCTCGGCCTTTCCTTCCTGCTGAAAGGAAGGAAAAGAAAAATCAATAACAACAGATGAAAATAAAGTTCCCGTTCCATACTTGCTCATGTAGTCCCGTGTAATTAAACGCACTATCTGCATTGTCAGCGGCCAATCGGTAGCCAACCTGCAACGCATGGTCACATGTTAATTTCCATAAGTAAATACGTACGTTTCAGGAGACGAGGTTTGCCGGTATCCCTGCCATAAAAAAAATAGAGATGAAATTCATGTGCATTCGTATCCAGATATCGAGACTTTTCACCTCCAAGCTACAGATTTGAACTGGCTTTCCATGCCTCTGGCCTGCCAATGTCCCCTGTCACACCAATTTTGAGAAAGGAGAAGCAACACAAAGTCAAAACCAGCACCTGCCAGAGCTTCGTGTACTTTGTATTCGCAGGCTGCTGCGGTGGTGTAGTGGCAACACCATTCGAGACTAGATGAGATACTCCAGCGTTGCCAGTTGCTGGATTCTGACCAGGCTGAGACATCGGAAGCATCACACCAGCATTCGGAGCGCTCCCAACAGAGTTGCTCGGTGCTGCTATCGATCTATGCGGCATTCCAAGTCCGGCACCCTGGACGCTCTGGCAACCACGAGAGGATTTGCAGCTTGCAAACTCTGGGCCATTCCAACCGTGCTCGCCACCGGAGGTAAGCCACTTGGCATACTAGCTGGTTGCATCATCCCCGCAGGAGCATTCGACGGCAGAATGCTGCTAGTATTTGCATTTCCTTGTACTGGTCCCAGGGTTGCACTACCTGCATCGCCACTAAGTCCATGTGCCATGCTGGCTGGCTGACTAACTGGTTGTGTGATCCCCATACCAACTTGTCCCACTGCTAAAGATCCAGCAGAGAGAATGCTTGATACCGCTGCTGAGCCTGCTCCCTACCTGATTTGATTCAGCACGCTCGCAGCAGGAACCGGACGATGCGATTGCAAAGGGTTAGTGTTGATGCTCTTAAAGTCCTGAACAGCAGTCGATGCGTCTGAGGCGAGTGGGGGACGAAGAACGTCTTGGCTCATATCTGAAGTGGCCCCCGAGCTTTGTATCGGAAGAGAAACTGCTGCCATACTTGTGTTCACCATAGGCGGCGAGCCATATGAGAGCGGACCAGAGGTCGAGACGTGCTCCTGCAAGAAACGAAACATACAAAAAATTTCTTACAATCTTTACAGTTGACATGGGTATGCTACCATTTGACATGATCTGTGATTGCCTTCCATTGGTAGGCACTGCGAGACAAAAGAAAGAAGTTAGCCAAGCCTTCACGAAATTAAAATTAAGGAGACCTGTGCCAGTGGATACTGATGGCACCGCAGTTGCAGGTACTGGTTGTGTAGTCTGCACCGCCAAAGGAGCAGCAGCTTGCTGCTCAACTTTTACACTTGTAGGCGATGGTGGCATACTAACAGCAGCAAGTGCAGGAGCCTGAATGACACGACGCAAGCAATTCCTGGCCTCCAAAAAGCTCTCGGAGATTAAGACAAGGTGCTGCGTGTGCTTGGCAATCTCATTCGAAGGGTCAGAAGCTCGAGGATTTTGCTTGGCCTGATCTCAAAAGCCTTAAGGAAAGGCATATAAGAATTAGCAATAGCATACCACTGAGTACAGGTTCTTTAACGATGGTAACTGCCGCGGACAAACAACTGAAAGAGATATATGGCACTGAAGGAAAACACGATGTGAGAAAACAATCGTCTATGAGAAAATGCATAAAGCAACCTGAGAGAATGCCCTTGCAACGGTTTCAGCATCCGCAAGCCACCACTGGTCCGGCTTCGCGTCCGCGCCAGTGCTTAGAGGCGGATGAGGGACGGGAGCTTGAAGCCTGTGAGGATTTGAAGCTGGCACCAAAATACAATGTCTCTGGCATGCCTGGTTACTTGGCGGCTGAGTCGTGGGACAACACATCTGCAAGGCTCAAAATCCTCAGCTTCATTATTCAAAATGAAACTTATATATGCTTACCACAAGAGCTTCCGCTAATCCCTCCGCCACAGCAACTTCGCCAAATCCACCACCCGAGAAATCGATGGACGATAGCCATAGCTGGAACAGCTCCAAGCTCGGCGTCCAGCCACTTCTCTGGAGCAGGCAGCCTGTGATAGATGGATAAACCTCTCTAAAGTCTTTGCCTACCACTGTAGGAATCATGGCCTCGAAAGACCACGAGCGCCATCTCCAGAGTAGCCCCATTGTCCTTCTAGAAAGCCACGACCGTGAGAGAACCACCGAGAGAGAAAAAATAAATTCTCACCTGGACATTCCCATCTTGACCATAGAACGCTCTAAAATACCGATCAGGAAGGAGAATCCTCGCCAACAAACAAGAAATTACCTGGCGAGCTTGTCGAGATACTCGGATCGCAGCAGCGGCCACGACGGGCCTAGCGCCGCCGTCGCCTCGACCGCGAGCACCAGATACTGCGCCTGCGGCTGCTGCGCGGTCACGCCAGAGCCGCTTCTGAGAGGCCCCGCGCTGCTGCTCGTCACCATGTCCAGAAACCGAGCATTTGAAAGCCCAACGGCCTGGATGGGGCCAATTGGCAACGCTTTCAGCCGTCGGATGAGCGAGTCGTGTGTTGTAGCGGGATCCTTTTCCCTGGAAGTGGTAAAACTTAAGAAAAAAGGCTACATCCAACATTTAAAGGGCATAAGTTCATGCCGAGTAATCACTATCAAAATGAAAAAAATATCACTACATCGTCAGCTTTTATATTATTCCATGTCTTTTCAGTCCAATAGCGCCTCGAATATAATAGATTTAATTCTAGTGTTCTGTGACACTGAGATCAATTTTGCTGATGATACGAGCCCATGTTTACAGTCAAGATGGCGTGGGGCCGAAGACAAGATCGTGGCATTTGGGATTGACGTGACCGGGTGACGATCGCCAACATGCTTGGTCATTTCGTTGTCTTGAATGAAATTTTACATAGGTGCAGAATCAACCTTGGAATAGGGTTCAAAAAAACATCGCAAGGAAGTCATAACAACCACAAACTCCTCAATTTGTCAAGCCCCACGGACTTGAACACTTATAATTCCTGTACGGATAATGCTCATTCCCCCCACCATGCGGCCCAACGTGCTATTATAATTAGTGAGTAAAGCCGTATTCGAGTTGCACTCCCTTACGTAGTCGTAGGTCCCATGCTGACACAAATGGACTGTAAACACCATCTTATTTCGACTATAAGAACTTGCTATGGACTTCACCAAGACGAAGAAGCAAGCAACCATGAAGAACATCAGGGTCTTTGTGGGCTTCTTGGTTCTGACGAACGTTCTTGTTGCGGCAATCGCCCAGCAATGCGGTCCCAACGATCCATGCCCGGACAATATGTGCTGCAGCCAGTTCGGACGGTGCGGGTGCGATTCGGGTTGCGGAGCTGGATGCCAGAGCCAATGCAACTGGTGCCAAAGAGGAGGGGGTGGCGGAGACGGAGGAGCAAATGGTAGAAAGAACTTTCATCTTCTTTGAAGTTGGTTTGATCGCTGATGTTCGTTTCTTGTTCTTGCCAAGATATTGGGGTCAACTATGGGAGAGTTGCGAACAATCTTCCGCAGCCGGATCAAGTGGTGAATCTCATCAAGTCCCTGCAGTTCAAGAGGGTGAAGATCTTCGACACGGACCGAACAGTTTTGCGGGCTTTTGCGAATTCGGGGATCCGGCTCACAGTCGCGGTGACCAACCAGGAGTTCAGCTCCATCGCCAGGAGCTCCAACGCGGCGTCGGACTGGGTCCGGAATAGAATCGCGCCGATTTACCCCGCAACGAACGTCGAATTCATCGCGGTGGGGAACGAAGTCCTTTCGGATCCCGGGCTCCCCTGGCCCGATCTAGTCCCTTCAATGTGGAATCTCAGAAACGCGCTGAACTCGCTTGGCTTCAACCAGATCAAGATCACGACGCCAATCGCAACGGATATCCTGAAAGAATCATTCCCGCCATCCGCGGGAGAATTCAGATCGGACAACGGAAGGGACTCAGTCGTGAATTCGCTGCTGGGCTTCCTGTCCTCCACGAACTCGGTGTTCATGGCCAATGTGTACACCTTCTTCGCCTGGCAGGGGAATCCCCGCGACATAAGCCTGGAATACGCCCTCTTCCAAAGCAACGATGTCAAGGTCTGGGACGGCGGCAAGGGCTACACGAATCTTTTCGATGCCATGGTGGATGCGATCTACTCGGCCATGGAGAGGAAGGGCTACGGGAACCTGCCGCTGGCAATTGGGGAATCCGGCTGGCCCAGCGGGGGAGCCCCAGGCGCCACCGTGGAGAATGCCAAGGCGTTCAACAGCAGATTGATCCGACGCACCAGGAGCGGTGTCGGGACGCCCAGGAAGCCGGGAGGGCTCGCCGCTTGGGTGTTCGCTCTGTTCAACGAGAATCAGAAGGGCGGGCCTGAGCTGGAGAGGCACTTCGGGCTGCTCTATCCTAACGGATCCCCAGTCTACCCGTTGCAGCGGCCGCGCCATCCGATTGTCAGGGAAGATGCGGTCAATAATTCATCATCCCTTCTCCACTCGGCAGCATGAAACTTGTGAACAAGAGTGAGAGAACCCTAAGCTCCAGAGAAGAGCAGAGATACTGTATTTTGGCATGCCAGAGATTCTTGTCTAGATCGCAATCCTGAATGCGAGGGATCTTTTCTCGACGCAGGGCGAGTTCTCAGTTTGATCTGGGTCAATGATATTTGACTTTCTTTGAATCGGGGCGAAGCAATATTATTAGATTTTTGTTTTTCGAAATTTCACTGCTGCCGGTTCCAGAGTGGATCGCTCATGGTACCCGGACGCTGCTTACAAGTCGTCCCCTACGTGTGATAGGTGTGGTACGCCGTCGCTTAGGGATTAATGTTCTTCAATATCTTGAATTGATCGGCTTTTGCTCCATCCTTCGCTATTATATACTGGAAGAACAGGTTTGCTAGGTTTTAGGAATGTTTGCAACTATGGTACCTCGAACAGGAGCTCGTTTTTGTCGGCTGAGACCCGGCTATACCCAAATTCGGAGACTCGAACCATGCTCCATGAACTCCACTGAAGCAGCATATAGTTTCGAAGTTATGAACTATTGAAAACTTACGTTCGCTGGGAAGAGATCGAGGCTGAATCCAGCCATGCCAACCACGGCATGAATTGGAGCTGATCCATTACTGACATAAACATCGACCCCAGTATCGTCTTTGGCTGGGACCTGGACGCAGCGGCTTTGATTCACAGCACAGGTGCGCTCGTAGTTGTGAACATGTCCCCACAATGCCAAATCAACCTGGAGAGAAGAATTGAAAAGCTTGGACATATATATATATATTATATTTACCTTGCTACTCACTAGAAGAGGCTCTACAGCTTCTACAAAATCAGGATCGATTGCGGGTAAAATTTTGGAGAGAAGCCCGCCTTGCGTAGAGTACATTGGGCGATGCCTAATAATATGAAAATAATTAGGAATAATTTAGAAATAAATGGTGAGTTATGTACCCGACAAATACCAGCCATGGTGTGTGAGTTCTGTTTACAGAAGCAAGATTGTGTTCCATCCAAGAATACTATAGGAATGATAGAACAAAATATTATACCTAACTTAAAGCAAAACGGAACTTTCTTTTACCTGTTCACTGTTTGGAGTCCAGTCGTGCTCCGTGGAGATTACTGTGAGATGCACGGGACCGAGTTCTATAGAGTACCATGGTTTGTCGATGCCTTGGGCAGGCATCGGGAAGTAAGATCGATATGGAACTCCACACTCGCCTCCCGAGTCTGTGGAGTTGTATTTGGATCCTGAGCCAGGATGATCCCTGGGCGATCATAGTAAATCAAGAACTTGGAGCAAATGATATAGATTTCGGTACCTCTCGTGGTTTCCAATGGCCGTCATGTAAGGGATCCTGGAAGCCACAGGCTCAATCATCTCAAGGAAGTGATCCCATTCCGCGAGAAAGCCAGTGGCATAACTTATATCGCCTATGTGGAATATGGTGTCCACAGTCTGGTTGGCAAGAGAATCTATCACTTGCAATGCTCCAGGCTGCAATATATACTTGCTAAGGTAGAATTTCAAGAAGTCTATATTTACTTGTATGTAGTGTTCTAAGCTGTTGTCTCGTTCGGCCTTCCCCATGTCTCCAAAAACGATGAAGCTTGCACTGTTTGATCCTTCGCCTGGAGGAGTGGTAAAATTCTTGAGTTTGCTCCAGCCAACTTTCTCACTATGGATTTAACCAGACGTAGGCTAATGTTGCTGAAACCCACATAGTTTTCTTACCTTCCATATCTGTAAGAAAAACTCTTGCCAGGAGAAAGACTTGTCATTGTTGCATGATGCATATATCCAGGAGTGTGCCATCCAAAATCTGTAGCTGGCGAACCTAAAAGAATTACCCAAAATAAAAGTTAAAAAAAAAGAATGTTAACTTTTACCACACATATCTTCTTTTTGGAAAGTTGTGATTTCGCTTGTGGAGCTCCGACCATCATACTCGACGTTCTGAGTGGCATTATCGTTGCTGATCCAAGTTACCACCATCTTGAGTTAAAGAAATTAGTAGAGTAAAGTTGTGAAAAGATTTAAAAGCTTACAGAGGTGCCGGAGGAGTCCTTGAGAGACAAATGCCCGTATAAAGGGGCCCCAGGCCTCGCAAACGAAAGCGGTGGGGCGATCTTGAGAATGCAGGGAGTTACAAGCCCGCCGCCAAAGAACACAAAGGTGACGGCGGTTCTTATGTTGACAAGACGGAAAGCAAGTGATCCAGAGCAAGTCCTCACGCTACATGAATCAGTGACACACGTCTTGTTGGAGCAGTTAATGTAGCCAGGATCATCGCTGAGGAACTTGAACTGGAAGAAATCAAAATCGATCAAGAGCCAAGTTAAGATCAAGATCATTAGAGCTATCTTTCTTGCTTTTGTAGAACAACCTTGAGGGGATAGTCGCAAAGCAAAGGCAGGCTGGAAAAGTCTCCTGTCTGCAGATAAAGTGCTTTGTTTGCAAGGCAGTCAGAGTAGCTGTAGAACGAAAACGACCGATGTGAAGTGCGGGTTTTCGGAGCTTCCGCATTGAAGAATCACCAGATATCAAATGGAGCAAGCAGACAAACTAATATGGAGCAAGAGGGAATAAGGGAGAAAGAAGAATGGACAGAAGAAAATGGAAGAGAAAGATGGTTATTCGGAAAATTGGGAGCTTACTTGTGAGTTGCTTCCGAGAACACTCCAATCCAATCTCTGGAGCTCGGCCGAAGAACACCACTCACGGTCGCCACCACTGTCTGGACACTGGCGAGAGGGCCTGCGGTGTCAAGCATCAAGTTGAGGTATGGATTTGGATCCCGGCATTCCAGCAATGCCCGCCTTGTGATGGAACCAAAGGCAGACCTCCCCGAGACCCCCAAATTCGCACCGGTAGCATCACCAGCTCCAGCACAAGCACCAGCTTGTAAAATTGCGAGCAGAACCAGTTCCAGGATGATCACCCGCGGAACTGGAATTCCAGCCATTTGCAAAGGTCTCTGCTCAAGCCATTCGTGACTAAAATTGTGCGTAACAGCCGAGGTGTCTGGGCTGGCCGGAAAGAACGATGAGACGTGGTGCCACACAACCTCTCGAGGATATGCCCAAAAGAAGCTTCCACTCTCCCCATGGCTTTCAAAACGCTAAAGTCTAAAATCTTCAAAGAATTTTTTTTACACAGACGGGTCATACAACCCAACAAGTTAACAAATAATTAAATAAAAGTATTCCATCAAGTGTTTGAGCCAAACTACCTCTTTACAACCTGCTGCCCTTAAAGGACGGATTTAGGGCAAGTATAATTGACACATGATTCACACTATAATGCATGAGAACCATGATTTAACTACACAGGTAGCGCGTGACATGACGAGGGTATACAAGCGCACTTCCCTCTTGGTTTCTCTCGGCTTTGGCCATGACTTTGTTGTGGATGATGGTTTCTCTTTTCTCGTTCGCCCCGGCACTTTCGGTTCCTTCTCTGGATGCGAATCCCCTCGACGAGGACACGGCTCAGCATGTCCAGATAACGTATCTTGGAAACATGGCGCAGTCGTCTGGAGCTGGTAATTATACATGTTCCCGATTCTTGATTGAAACTACTTTCAAGATGCCTTGCAGTGTGCTTAGATGGGAGCGTTCCTGCTTACCATCTCCAGCAAGGAGATCCAAGCTCGTGGCACATTTCATTCGAGGTACAAGAAGAGAACAAACTGTGAACTGTATGAGAAATGCAGGGTGGCGGATGGTGCCAATCGCTGGAAGCTTGCGCTAACCGAGCCCAGAGCTTCTTTGGAAGCTCCAAGTACATGAAGCCCTTTGTAAAGTTTGATGGCCTGCTTAGCAGCTCGGTCCAAGTGAATCCCGAATTTTTCAACTGGACTCATGTTCTAGTGAGGTACTGCGACGGGGCATCCTTTAGCGCCAATGTTAGCGACACACTCGCAGCTCCTTCTGGAAAGGTGTTCCTCAAGCGGCATTTATGTTAATCCCACCATCTTTTTCTCTTACTCGAGCACGCAGGTTTTGTATTTTAGAGGGAAGAGGATTTTCGAGGCTGTGATTGAGGAACTCAAATTATATAGAGGGTTGAGCGACGCTAACCAGGTATTTATACATAAGTTCAGATTCTCACAATCTCCTGATTTCTCGTCGTAAATGTTATCAGGTTCTTCTGTCCGGTTGTTCTGCCGGAGGGCTGGCCGCGATCCATCGATGCAACGACATGGCAAGCTTTCTTGATCATGGTGTCAAGCTGAAATGCCTGAGTGATGGAGGCTTCTTCGTCAATGCGTGAGTAATCTATAAGTTGGATCTTAATGTTATCTTGGAGCTCAAAATGAAAAAAATTATCAGCTCGGACATCCAGGGAAGCAATTCCATTTTGAAATTTTACACAAACATCGTCAGCTTTCATAAGTTGCACGAGACACTTGACAAATCTTGTGTGTCCGATTCAAGCAACAATGGTACAGAGGTACTAATAGTAGATTTTATTCGGTGTTTCAGCTGAAACTTGTGTTCTGTGTAGTGTTATTTTCCACAAGTCATGAAAGATTACGTCAAGCCTCCGCTCTTCATTCTCAATGCTGCTTACGACTTCTGGCAAGTACGTAGATCTTCTTTATGCTGTCAAACAAAGTTAACTATTGCAGCTAGAGCATGTCAAGAAGCTGTCGAGAGAGATCTACAAACCTTGCATCATGAGCAACTCATCGTGCCCACCCATTCGAATACTTCAGCAGCTGCGGATGAGTATGATCGATGCGCTTCGAGTTGGATCGCTGTCCAACAGGGAATCCCTGAGCGTCTTCATAGACTCTTGCTTCACTCACTGCCACACTCGAAGCGATGATCAATGGAACATCCCAAAGATCAACAGCAAGGCAAGTAGATTATAATCTCTGGAAGTGCACTAACCAAGTTGATGCTGCTGCAGTCCCCAGCTCAGGCCGTGGGCGATTGGTACTTTCAGAGAAATGGTGAAGCTGGGCAACAAGCCATAGATTGCGCCTATCCTTGCAATCCAACTTGCGTATCTATCTTTGATTAGCAGAATAAATAGATCTTAATACAATGCAATTGAGAAACAATGGATCCCCTGCTAGTGGAGCTCTGAGTGCATGGCTGTTTCCATCAAACGTGTGGCCCGTGCCTGTGAAAAGCACCGCGAAAAAACAATCCAACATAAGTTACTCCAGTGGACAGATCTTTCTAGCGGAAAAAACTGATCACGGGTCATCCTGACACACTTTGTCTCATAATTGAGCAGCTCCCTCATTTCCAAATGTTCTTCCAAGTTCTCTCGCTTCATGCGTTTCCAGTTATTGTACATGCCGTTCTGGTTCCAATAACTTATCTAGCTGCGTCCAATTCGTCAGGAGCGGGTAGGACATTTGCGATCTATCCATGTTCTAAATTGTGTGTGACAATGCTATATAGTTTGCCTGGATGGAAGCGTTCCGGCTTATCATCTTCTACCGGGAGCCTCAAACTCATGGCATATTTCTTTGGAGGTAAAGATCGATCGCTCGGTCAAGTTATAGGATGATGATCCATAGCTTTGGTTTCTGGGAAATGCAAGGGTGGAGGATGGTGTGACTCCGTGGTATCCTGTGCTAACCGCGCCAAAGGTCACTGGGGAAGCTCCATTTACATGCAAAGCCCGACTGGATTCGCAGGCTCGCTCAGCAACGACGCTTCCGTAAACCCGGACTTTTTCAACTGGACACAAGTGTTCGTCAGGTACTGCGATGGAGCTTCTTTCACTGCTGATGTCGAGGAGCCCCTCGTTTCATCCTCCGGCCAGGTAAGAAACGCGGCAAAAAGCTGTGAGATCAATCGCGATATCGATCATTTATTTGTTCTTCCTGGAGTCCTCCAGGTTTTGTACTTTCGAGGGAAGAGGATTCTCAGAGCAGTCATTGATGACTTGAGAAGCAAAGGATTGAGCAACGCGACACAGGTTTGTCGAAAAGAAAGGCTACTCTAGAACTTATCTCTCGAATTTTTGATCAGGTTCTTCTATCGGGCTGCTCGGCTGGAGGGCTTTCGACTATACTCCATTGCAACGATGTCCAGAGCCTCCTCGATCCAGGCGTGACACTGAAATGCTTGAGTGATGCTGGGTTCTTCATAAACACGTAAGAACTTGCAAAGAATTTTTTAGACCGTTTAGAAATCTGGCTGGAGTACAGTTCCGATCCTGGTGGTCACTACCTCATGTCAAAGCTTTACAAGGACGTGGTCAGCTTACACAAGCTCGAAAACACGCTGGATCAATCCTGCATTGGTGACTCAAACGGTGATGCTACGAAGGTACTCTCGAAAAGAAGCGCTTTCTTTTGCTTGATTTGTTCTTTGTTTTTGCCAGTGTTTCTTTCCTGAGATCATGAAAGCTTACGTCAAACCACCATTGTTCTTGTTGAATGCTGCTTACGATTCCTGGCAAGTAAGCGCTCATCTTCGTGGTTTACAAACTCAGAATTTCGTGCTTTTGATAATTTACACAGCTCGAGCACGGCCTTAATCTTTCGAGGGACTCATACAACTCTTGCATCAGCTACTCGTCATGCCCACCAGTTGAACTCCTCCAAGGATTTCGAGCAAGCATGCTGGATGCTCTTTCAGGTGGATGGAGCTCGCTGGCTCTTTACATCAACGCATGCTTCACGCACTGCCAAGCAACCTGGGATGCGACTTGGAACATCCCCAAGATCAATGACAAGGCAAGTCTCCCCTGTCGCGTGACAAGATCTCCTCGAGTTTGGAGTTTACTGATGAGATCGGCTTCCTGGTTTTTGCAGTCTCCAGCGCAAAGTGTTGGCGACTGGTACTTCGAGAGGACTGCCCAGCCGGAACAAGCTATTGATTGTGCGTATCCCTGTAATCCAACTTGCATCCAGCAAGCTTAACCAAGGTGGTCATCAAAGATCTTGTCCGATCATCTGCTAGATGCGTAGATGTTGGAGAGCAAAACGTGAGAGGCCGAGCCGCCGAAGTCTAGTTTGGAAGAACCGAGGAGCTTAGCAACAGCAAACTTTGCACTGGGAGATATAGACCTGCGGTGGAACTGGCCGCTACCGAGCAACACGGTCCACGCGACGCTATCGGGCACGAATGGCATTGTGTCGATCAGCTCCTGGGCATCTTTCGCCTGTCCCGACCTCGCGAGAAGATCCACCATGGAGCAGTAGTGCTGCATCGTTCGCTCCAGTTTGTAATCAAGCTCCAAGCTGACGAACAGTCTCCGTCCCTCTCGGAAGAACGATCCGGCGTGGCTGTGCGCGCAGGCAACGAGAACGCACAAGACCGAGACGTCTGTGGGAGTGAGACCCTCCAAGAGCATCGCCCGGAAGAGATCTAGAAGGTCTTGGCAGTGGCCGAGCCGACAGTAGCCAGCAGCGAGGGTGTTCCAGGTAAAAACATCTCGTGCCAGTACCCGATCAAACAGCTCTTTGGCCTCCACCAGCTTGTCATTTTGAGCGTAGGCCCCGATGATGGTCGACCACGATGTCGTGTTACGCTCCGGCATGGAATCAAACACGAACTTTGCCGCTTCCACCTCACGGTTTCGAGCGTAAGCTTGAACCATGGCGCTCCAAGTTACCACGGTTCGTTGAGGCATCCCGTGATCGAACAAGATCTTCGCGGATGTGAGTTCGTTGTTCTCGGCGTAGGCCTGTAGCATTGTGTTCCAGATAACGTCGTCCCGTTCGTCCCGAGGAACGGAGTCGAAGAGATGCTTCGCAGCCTCAAGATGCCCGGAGTGGGAATATGCAGCCACCATTGAGGTGATTGCCACTAAATTCCACTCGGGCATTCTCTCATAAAACGATTTGGCATTGTCAATGCTACAAAGTTCCGCATAGACTTTGAACATGGCAGTCCAGGCCACTAGATTCCTTTCGTGCATTTCATCAAAGAGAGCCTTGGCTTCGTCAATTTGCCACGCTTCGGCATATGCCACGACCATGACAGTCCAGGACACAATATTCCTACAGGGCATAGTATCAAAGAGATTCCGGGCATCCTCAAGGCATCCGTGCTGTACGTACGCTTGTAACATAGCGGTCACCACAACCACATTGGGAGACTCCAGGCGATGGAAGATTCTCTTGGCCATATCAAGATGCCCATAATGGGCATATGCCCAGATAATTGTACTGTGCGTAAAATTGTTCTTTACAGGCGTTGCATCGTACAAGCTCTTGGCCTCCTCGAGATACCCGCACTGCGCAAAAGCTTGCATCATGACCGTCCATACCACCTCGCTCTTAACTGGAATTAGGTCAAAAAGTTCTTTCGCTTGCTCAAGATGCCCATTTGCGGCATATGCCGAGAGCATGGCGCTCCACGTCACGGCGTTCTTGACGGGCATCTGGCGGAAGCAATGCTCCGCTTTGCCGACATTGCCGCTCCGCCCATACGCTGCCAGCATCGTCGTCCACGACACAACGTTTCGATCGGCCATTCTATCGAAGAGCTCCTCCGCCTCGTCCAGATGCCCATTCTCGGCAAGAACCTGGAGCATGATCGTGTGCGTGACGACGTTGGGTTGCGGGACGCGATCGAATAGCCGCCTGGCGTGATCGACGAGACCGTTCTGGGCGTACGCCGAGATCATGAAATTCCAGGAGAAGACATTTGGATCGATGAGCTGCGCGAACACATCGGCCGCGTCGCTCGCGCTGCCGCATTTGCCGTAGGCCTGGATCAAGAGATTGGCGAGGTATCTGTCCTGCGATGCGAGAACTCGCGCGTGGAGCTGCCGCGTCGAGGAAAGATCGCCCGCATTGGCGCAGGATTGGATGAGGCACGCTAGCTGAGATCGAGACAAGAATCTCTCCTCCTGGCTTAGGGCTTGAGGAAGAAGCATGAACCCTAATATGGGTTTCTAGGAGAGCGCGAAAGCGCTATGGCGACAGAGCCGGCAGGCAAGTAGCTCCCATCGTTCATCTTTATCATCGTAGCTAGGCGCTGCTGGAACCTCTCGCTAGATCTCTCGCATTCTTCGCTCACGGGTGATCTTCTCACAGGAGTTAGGTCGGGGACGAAGGTGAAGAAGGTAGCTGGGAAGCGCGAAGAAGTGACCGGGCATTTTGCGTTTGGGCCTGCCGAGGACGATGCGATCATCCGGCAGCGGCTGCTCACTCGGACCACCACGACCCGGGGCGAGCCGCCGCTCAAGAAGTTGCTCAAGAAGTTCGTCGCCTTCGTGGCCGAGGTGGATAAGAGCTCCGACAATGTGGTGGAGTGCGAGAAGCTCTACAAATCCTTGCTGCAGGAGCTCAGCACTTTCGAGCTCCCGCTGCTCAAGACGAGGGCCGTGATCGATGCCAACAAGCGCGAGCAGCAGAGTTTCAAGGATTTGCAGCAGCAGCTCGACCAGCAAACCATCCAGGTATTCGATCGAGTTCGTGTTTTCTTTTGTTCTCCTCGAGCTCACTTTCGCACTGAGGCTGAAAAACCTTTTTTTTTTTTTTTTCTTTCAAAGACTAGGAATGACATCGAAGATTTGAAGATCCAACTCGAGCAAAGCAAGATCGAGAGGCAGCACAAAGAGGAGTGCGAAGCCATTCGTCGGCTGATAGCCGCTCAACCTCCGCGATCAGAGACCCAGAACGTGATCACCGAGCTCGAGAAAGAGATCGCGACGCTCGAGGCCGAGAACATGACCGCCACTCGGACACTGGAGCTCCGGAAGAAACAATTCGCCCTCTTGCTACACGCCGTAAGTTCCATTCCATCCATCCATCCTTTCATTTTTTTTTTGTCGCGATCAAACATCTTCCTAGTTGTTCTAACTTGGCCTTGTGTTTCACTCCAGGTTGATTCGCTACAGACCACGCTCGAGGACGAGCAGCAGAGCAGCGCGATCGAGCAGGACACGAGCAGCAGCGGCGCTTTTGTCTCGATGGAAGCTCCAGTGGCGGCTGCCGAGCCCATGGCCGTGGATCCTGTGTGAGCAGCGCCGACAATCAAACCAGACAGGCAAACATTCTTTGCTTTTCTTTTGCTCCTTGTTTCCAGCTAACTCGCGAACAAACCGAGAATCGAATGTCTCAAGCGTCGCTGACAAACTAAAATCCAATCAATCAGTACGGTGGAGGTGGCGGTAATTCGTAGTGGTATGAAGGTGGCGGCGGTGATTCGTAGTGGTACTCGGGTGGCGGCGGCGGCGGTGACGGTGGCGGCGGTGATGGTGGCGGCGGTGATGGAGGTGGCGGTGGTAGCACGGGCGGCGCCATTACCAGCGGCTCCGGTTGGCAGCTCGTCGGCTGCGAGAGGAAGTCCGCACACTGGTCGTGGGGTCTCTGGTTGGGCTGGTAAGGAATACAGTTCCGGTCCGTGTCCACGATCGTTCCGTTGGACGCGGGCAGCTCGAGGCACTGGTGGGCGATGTCCGTCAGGAAGTTATCCTCGAGCGTGAGGTTCTGGAGCTTGGGCAGCTCGCAGATCCCCTCAGGCAGCGTCCCCGAGAGGAGATTCCCCGCGAGGTTGAGCTGCTCGAGCGATTTCATGGCGGCGATGGCGTCCGGGACGTAGCCGCCGAGCTGGTTGCCGCTGAGGTCGAGCACGGTGACCTGCGTGAGGTTGGCGATGGAGTCGGGGATGCAGCCCGTGAGCATGTTGCCCAGGAGGATGATCTCCTCCACGCTGCCGTTGAGCGCGCCGATGGAGCTCGGGATCTCGCCCTGGATCATGTTGTTGGCGAGGACGAGCACCGAGGCGGTGGAGTTTGCGAGCGTGGCCGGGGCGGCGCACTGGAAATCGTTGTCGTTGACGAAGATGGCGTCGAGGCCGCGATCGAAGAGGCGGGGAGGGATGCCGCCGCGGAAGCGGTTGAAGCGCACGTCCAGGTAGCGGAGGCTGGGGAGATCGAGCGTGACGTTGGGGAAGGGGCCGGAGAAGCGATTGTTGGAGAGGTCGAGCTCGTAGAGGTGGGCGAGCTTGCAGAAGGAGGGCGGGACGGTGCCCGAGAAGAAATTGGTGTTGATGTGGAAGAGGACGAGGTAGGAGAGGAGGCCCAGCTCCTCGACGAGCTTGCCGCTGAGGTAGGCGTGGTTGAGATCGATGCCGGTGACCACCCTCTCGCAGGAATCGTCCGGGGCAGCCGAGCAGAAGACGCCCTTGTAGCTGCAAACCTCGTCGCCGATCCACGTCGCGGTGATGTTGAGTGGGTCCTTGGTGATTGCCGCCTTCCACGCCTGGAGCGCCGTGTAGGCGTCCCACAGGCTCCGGATCGATGCCTCGGACGCGCCCTCGAGCCGGCGCTGGCGCTGGAACCTCATGTGCGTGTGTGAATGCGCGGCGGCAGCATCGATCCTGCTGCTCGATGCCTGCTGGATCGCCGCCGCGATTATCAGCGAGAGAGAGAGGAGGAATCTGGAAATCCCGCGCATGATCGCTCGCTTCTTATCGAAATTCCCCGGCCAAGAACAACCAAGAACAAGAGAGAGAAAGAGACAGAGAGAAGAAAAAAGAGGGCAATTGCGAAGCCGATCGATCGATGGATTGCCCGCGCGCGCGCGCGCTATCGAATTCCCAATGCGGCTGCCAGATCCTGTGACTGGCGTGATGAATCCGCGGCCACTTTGGAGGAGATCGCAAGCAAAGTAGAAATGTAGTACCGCCTCCTCGGCGCGCACGGGACACGAAGAAGGTCTCTGCCTTGCGACGAGGAAAGGTGCGCGCGCTGGGAAGGAATCCTGTGAGCGCAGATTTTCATGCCATTCTCCTCCTCCTCCTCCTCCTCGCCCTCCTCCTCCTCCTCCTCTCTAGCTTTCCAAACGAAATATAAAAACACACAATGCCGCCCACACAGGAGAAAGAACTCGTCAGTGGCAGCCGTTAGATGGGGCGCATCTACGGCGGAAATAGAAACTTCAAACTGTAGCCGTTGGATGGGGGCTAGGGCGGCCGCGTGGCGCCATCCCAGCCGCTGTCCAGTTCGCGGGCGGATGTCTTTGAAAAAATGGCTTCCATTTGGCGGTCGTGGCACGACGTTTGTTCGTGTTTACTACTCTCTCAGGCTGTGGTCCATGACTTCGCTTGCTTGTTTTCTCGTGAGGATTGCGGCTTCTTATCTCTCGTCAGAGCTCCTCTCTAGACATGGGCACCACTCTTTGGTCCCAGCGTGTTGGTCGCCAGCGTTCCAAAAATCCTGTTGCGGGGGACGAATTCACTCTTGCTGGGATGATCATACATGACAGCGGCGGGCCTCCAAATCATGCTGGAAGAGGAGAAAACACGCTTAGATCCTCGTCCGGGTCGAGAGAAAAACCACGCACTTACTCGTTTGTTGCGTTGCAAGATACAGTCTTGCAGCACGGATGCTTGGAGCGACTCGAGACAGTTGCGAGAGCTGGTGCTTGTTACCGGGACGCTTTCGTTGTGCAGGGAAGAATCGTTGTTAGCCACAGCCATCGACAGTTCGGTCCCACGCCAAGTTGGATTTTCTTTTCGGCTTGGAAAGAGGCGGCTTCTTCTTGCTTCTTATCTTCGCTTTCTTTGCAGAAGACCGATTGATTGGAACTGCACAGGACCCAAGAAAAACTAGAGAGGTTAGTCCCTTTGTTTTTTCTTAGGACGGGTACAATGTCTAAATCTTACTGGGGAGTGACCTCTGCCACTTTGCCTGCTGCACGGTCGAAGAATAATTTTGTTTTCTCTGCAGATAAAATACCAATGTTAGGTGCTGCATCAGCGTACCGATGGAGAAGAGAGAAAAACGAAACAAAAAAGAGAAAAGCCGCCTTACAATACAGCCTACGGGTCGCAAGGCACCATGAGCTTTGGCGAGAGCTAAAAGATGATCCAAAGACCACGAGATGGAGATTCTTCGCCTTCCCTTGAATATTTTACGAGTTTTCGACACGTAATCCCGTTGACGTCAGGCTCGTCCGACAAAAATCGCACTGCAGCATAAACAAAACAAAGAAGTTACGAGTAAGAAAGCGAAGCAAGAACTCACCAGTGTGATTGACTGAATTACAACTCGTCCACTATAGCCGGACGCGGCTTCTCTTGATCCTGGCTGTCATATACACTCCAGACTTCATCATCGCTTTCCTCACCAGTGCTGTAAGCCGATTCCTCCTCGGCCTTCCTGTAGTTGGGAGCCGAGTTATCTGCATGATCCCTTCCAAAGTCAGCCTCGCCGCTGCAGAAGTCAGCTTCATCGCTGTAATCCTCTTCAGAGCTCTCGTCGTCACTACTAGATTCAAGCTCGGAAACTTCCCCTGCAGTCTCATCTCCACTATCATTTGCCAAGTCGCCTTCCATGTCCGTGTTTGATTCTTCGCGACTTTCATCCGCAAAAGCATAATCCGTTCCGTCTTCTTCTTTAACCGCTGCGACCAGATCGGCGGACAGATCCTCGTCCATGTACGCTGGGTGCTTCGTTCCTTCGGGCCACCCACGATAGAATATCAATTTATGCTTCTCTTGGCATACAAAGGCTGCTCCCGTACCATCCTGCAGAAAAAGAAGTGCTTAAAGATTGGCACAAGGATAAAGTTGTAGCTAGTTACCTCGATAAGCTTTACCAGCTCTTGGACAGATGTTCCTAAAGCACGACCTTTCATCCCAATCTTTACCAGCGCACGTTTCTTTAGGAAAATCCTGATTGATGTTATAAGGCCCCCAACGAGATTACACTTCCCTGTATCACGAAATTAATCAACCGAAATGTAGCTTTCAACGACCGTCCTTACCAATATGAAAATGCGAAGGCTTTCCCATCAGTAGCGCCCGCTTCCGCAGTATCAACCTCTCTCTGTTAGAGAGAGGTTCCGCCCGAAGAATCGGACCAAGATCAAGATGCCTCGACCTTTGGTATCGTTTTAATGGCGGCGCGACAGGCATTTCAGCCTGAGTGGCGCCTTTCGTCGACAAAAGCTGAACTGCCTTGTCATCACTGTTGTCGTCTTGGACGTCGGCGTCACTTGCATCTTCATCAGACCCAGCATCTTCATCAGACTCGCTTTCGTCAGCTTTAGCCTTTTCCTGTGAATGAAGCCATCGGTGACAACACTATGAGAGAAGCTAGATCATACCAGAATATAACCCAGTGATCGAATGTCATGCTCCAAGCTTAAAATGTAGCGAGACAAAGACTGTCGCAGTTACAAGAAAATCAGGATTAGCAAGCCAGTACAGCAGTTGACAACAAACCTCTCGTCGTTGAGTTTCCGTATATCTTGCTAAGGCCTTTCTTTTCGTGAGAAGATTGTGCGGCCTAAGCTCCTCTGGCCGTCTGTAATTTTTCCCACGATAGTACAAAAACACCTGTCCTTTGGAGACTGGATATATGCCAATAAGAATGCCTCCACTTTCGCATTCGATCATTTTCGCGGTATCCTCGATGTCCATTCTGTCCTTTCCCTTGTACACCACTTTCACGAGTTCTCTGTACTTCCAATGCAGATGCATGTTCTCAATAATGCCAGAGTAGACTCCTCGCCGTCCTGCTTACGCACTGAATCAGCGAACACAGAAGATAATTCCAGAAGACTTACCTAGCAAAAGAAATGCTTTCATCTTAAGCCCAACTCTTTGCAGGGTGTAGCGTTCTTCTTCCGTAATCGTTTCGCGGTCTTCTGAAGGCTCACGCGGCTTCATAAGCTTCTCAACTTTAGACAGTGCTTCCTCTGCCTTTTCCTTCTTGCGAACGGCCTACAACAAATACCGCACTATGACCAAAAAACATAAAGAAAAAGAAGCTACTTACAATGTCGAGCCGCCTCTCTATCCGTCTTGCTCTGGCTGCTCTGGCAGCTTTCATAACGATCGCTCTGCGTTTCTCCTCTTCTTGGTTCTTAATCCACTCCTTGAGCTTAATATCTGCTTCTGTTTCCTGTGGCCTTTGTTCAACGTGGACTATCTTCTCGGTAACTTTTCCCGTAGGCAGCATTCTTGCTTTGTCTTCAACGTCTTTGTTTGCAAAAGACATGGCTTCACGCTCTTCAAATGCAGCAGCAATTGGAGCAGGAAGAAAATCCTTTCCTCTGTAAAATATCATGTGGGTTTTCTCTCTTCCAAGAAGTACACACCCTGTAAGCCGCTGCATCAACCAAACAAAAGTGTAAGATGAGACTTCAGGAACTCTACCGTGCTGACTTACAAAAACGAATTGACAACCTTAAGTTCGTCAGCCATTTTTGCGTTGTCTGTACTTTGAACGCTTTGCTTGATCGCAACCTTGGTGATTTCAGTCTTTTCCCACAACTTCACCATTGCCTTGGCCAGACCCTGGAGCCCCTTATTTCTTGCTGCAAAAACAAAAAAAAACCATCAGAGAGAGGGAGAGAGAGAAGAAAACAAAAGAGCTTACAAATAACAAACTGCGGTGGCATTTGTCTTGCAAGCCGCACCAGATTCGTAAACTCCCTATCGCTAAGCTTGGGTTCCATTCCATATGGCAAAAGTCGATATGGTGACTTGAAGTTATGATCGATTGCAGGCAACTTATCCCCATCAACTGGCACGGGTCTATCACCTTTCCAGTCTGCATATCTCGGACCAAGCTCGGCCAACAATCGATCCATCTGCATCTCGTACTCCGCCTCGATGAACGGAATGTGATTCACGAACTCCTTGAACTGTGTATCAATGCCTAGCAACTCTCCCGATACGTGTGACTTTTCTGGTTTCTCCACACTTTCTTTCGGTTTCGACACGCTTTCGGTTGGAATCCATCGTTCCTTAGGAGGACCAGCGTAGTCTTTCCCACGATAGATCACGAGCGCAGCTCCAGCTCGCCAGATTACCAAGCCTCCTGTTCTTTTCTGTAATAAAGGAAAAAATAATTCAGGCCAATTGTGAGGATAAAAGAAAGGTACTTACCTCCAACTCCTCATGTACTTTCCTCATGTTCATGGCCACCTCTTGGTCACACTTCAGCTTGACAATCTCACTGGTTCTCCATTTCTGGTGAATCGCTTGCACAACGTTGCGGGTGATGCCGAGCTTCTTCACTTTAATCCGCTCCTTTGTGTGGATAATCATCGTTCTCAACCTCCTAAGCTCGGCATCCGGAAGCACGAGCTCGGCAAGCGATGGTGGTCTCACTCTTCGCTGCGGCTGTTCTTCTTCTCCAGACGGAGCCTTCGAAAAATCCTCCATTTCCCACGGAAACTTTGGAGCAGGCTTTGGCGGCTCCTCCAAAAGCATTGCTGGCAAGTTGGCGTTCCATGTCTGTGATGGAAACGTAGACAACATGGAGCTTTCGCCAGGAGGAGTGATTGCTGGACCAACTAGCCGGTTCACTAGATTCCCAATCCTGGATTCATTCCTCTGCGGAACGATGTCTCTCTGGGGAGCTTTTATCCTGCGTAAGTTGTCAGCGATCTGCGACACTGCGGAAGAGTCTCTCGTGGATTCGGCTACCTCGTGCTGTTGAAACTGCTCGTAAGAAGTTACCAGCGGGGGATTCGTGCTGGTTTGGTTGTATCCAAGCGGATACCCAGAGATCGTCGAGAGAACCGGATCCTTCCTCCGCCAGGTTCTCTCGTCCACTCGCGGCTGCTGCTCATCGGCATGCGTCCATGGAGCCTTGTACTTGAGAGGATTCCACGATGCATCAATTCGGTCCTTCTCATCCTTCCTCCTGTCATAGCTGCCCTGCTGCTCCTCCTCGTATTCCAGACCATCTAGGGCGGCTATCCAAGCGGATTCTTGCGAGCTATCAGCTACATTGCTCCCGTTTTGCAATGCCGGGATGCAAGAACTCGATCCTGCGAGCCTGCTGAATCGTCAGGAAATGCCGATCAGAGCCGAGAGACTTCTACCTCGCAGAGTGCTGGCAGCTCGCGCCCGACGATCGCCGCGGCCTGGGGCGTCCAATGCGGCATGGACTCGGCGCCAGCCCCCACGACAGTGTCGCCATGGCGGATAAACCCTAAAATATCACAGAGTCCCTCCTGCCCTAATTTTCTGGGCGATGGCGTCGTGATCCACCGGCAAGGGGCAAAGATGTTCTCGGCGCACAAGATGTTTCGGCTGGCTCGATTTGGATCCGCCCATCTCCTAATGCGTGGCCGCAGCTTGTTCTTGGGCTTGGACAGGCACAGCCTCTTGTCGTGGATTCACTCCTTCGTCAGGGTATGTTGCCTGGGCATTGTTTGTATGAATCCAGCGTCTGCCTCGCTGCTGAGCCAGTGAAGAACACGCAAGAACAAGATCATTTGTAAATAGGCTGGAAGAAGAGGGATAGCATGGCAAAATGGGGGCACAAATGGATGCCGTCACAAAGATTTTGCGTTGCCGATCGTCCCGCATTGTAATTTGATCCTCAATCACACCATAAGTTTCTTCTTTCATTTCTCTCTCGTTTCAAGAAAAATCGAATAGAAAGATTCGCGCTAAGATTCTCGTTTTGACTGGCTGGTCAATCTGGTCGGTTTCCTTGTACGGAGAATATTTCCCAAGTGGGAAAGGAAAGTTTTATTACTCAACTAGAACACGACATTCTTTCACCCCTGTTTTTAGGGTTTTAGAATGCGCGCTCTTGTATTGCCGCCTTCTCAGGGGCCATCGCCATTCTTTCCCTCGACACGGCGCGCCGATCGCATTGGCGATGGAAGGCTGTCATGCGCCAGAATCGGATTCTCGGAGTACGCCGACAAGGTAATCTTCTCGCGTTCTTTGGAATTTCACGCGTGGATCAATGCCTCGCCAGGAGGAATGCAAGCTGCCTGGCGAGCTCGTGGCGCAGCTCAAAGCGGAGCGAGCGGAAACTCTCAATGGTGCTTCGCTTCCAAGGTACTCCGGGTAAATGGATTGATCTGGTAGTGACGATTATGATGGCAGGAACTTTAAAGCGACAGAAGGCGTTTTTCAGCAAGGACGTCCACAGGAACCGGATAACAAATTATCACGGTCGCTTAGAACTTTGATACTAGACAACTACGATAGCTACACTTACAATCTCTTTCAGTTGCTTTCGATAGTGAACGGAGGTAAGAACTTGGAACTTGAAAGTGCTCTCATTCACGAAAGATTGTCTATCTTTGCAGTGGCTCCCGTCGTGCTGAAAAACGATGAGTTAACATTCCGTGAGCTCCAGCGCCTCCTATACGAGTTTGACAACGTTGTCATATCACCTGGTCCTGGATCGCCGGATCGTTCTTCTGATATAGGTTCTTTTGTTTTGTGACTTTCTTGCTCGGCTTTAGCTTTCTTATGGTCCAGGTGTTTGTGTGCGGCTTTTGCAAGAATGTCATGACATTCCCATTTTGGGAGTTTGCATGGGACATCAGGTTTTTATTCTTTCTTCTGCTGGTTTCGCTCTCTTGGTAAACAGACTTATCTTCAGGCTTTGGGATATGCACACGGAATGAGAATTATACACGCACCAGAGCCAGTTCATGGGCGTTTGAGGTTTTTCTTATTCATTTATAGAGTTTCGGTATCGTTATTTGTTTGGCTTGCTTTGTAGTGCTATTCAACATACACACCATCCACTTTTCAGAAACATTCCTTCCGGTTCCGGTTTTAAGGTAGCTCGCGAAGTTTTCTGCGTTTTTATGTTGTACAGTCTTCTGGCAGGTCGTAAGGTACCATTCGTTGATATTAGAGAGTGCTTCTCTTCCTTCGAGTTTGATCCCAACTGCGTGGACATTGTCTGAGAAGCCTGTTCCGTGTGGCCGAACAGTAGAGGAACGTAGGAGCTTGTTGGAAACAGATGAAACTTTTGAGGCTACTTATCACTCAAATAGTTTGCTGATGGGCGTTTCACATAAAAAATGGCCGCATCATGGAGTCCAGGTAAATTTTATTATCCTGTTCTCTTTATTGACCACATTGTTGTTTTAGTTCCATCCAGAGAGTATTGCTACTGTACATGGAAGGCAACTCTTGGAGAACTTCGCTGAAATCACACGCTGCTTTTTGAGAGCAAATTCACGGGTATGTGTTTGTGTTTCTAGACGAGCTTAATCCGGTTCAAGTGGCAGACTTTTTGTGTAGGTTCGAGCAACCACCGGTGCCTTGGGAAGGATCGCGGAGACGTTCAAGCCAGTTGCGCGTGTCCCTTTAAGGCTTTGTTTTAAAAAACTTCGAAGCCTTGAAACTGCTGTTGGCGGATCCGAGAATATCTTTCGTGTAGTTTATGGCCGGAACTCAGTTGAGAACACTTTCTGGCTGGACAGCGCCACTGCGGACAAGGTTGCTTATGGTTCGACGTCTTTCTTCCACTAAAAGACTCTTTTATCATTCCAGAATAGATGCAGATTTTCTTACATGGGCGGGAAGGGTGGTTGTTTGTGGCAAAAGATCACATATTGCCTGTCAAACGACTCGTAAGTTTCTTACTTTTTAACTGCATGAATTTTTCATGGTGTGTTTACAGAAGCCGAGGTGTTCTACGAGTTGAAGATGTAAATGGTGATGTGTTTCAGAAAGCGCTGTGCGACGGCTTCTTTGAGTTTATGAACAAGGTGTGACGATTTCTATGTATAACTTCATCTCTCTCTTTTTTTCTCTCCAGGAAACACAACGCTACAGCTGCAGAAAAGAGGATTACCAGCAGCTGCCTTTTGAATTTGTTGGTGGTTTCGTTGGCTATCTTGGGTAAGCAAAATATTCTTCTTTCCATTTCGAAAAGATTACATAGGCCTTCAACAGATACGAGTTGAAATGTGAATGTGGTCCGTTATCCAATCGTCACAAATCCTCTGTTCCGGATGCTGCATTTTTTAAGGCCGATCGTTTCATTTCTATAGACCACTTGACTGGCGATGTTTATACAGTTGCTGTACATGAAGAAACCAGAGAATCCACTGAAGCTGCGGTATCTTGGGTCGAACAAACAGCCGAGAAAATTGCTGGTCTAAGTTCCATAAGAGATAACTCGAAGTGTGAGAAAAAATATCCGGAGCACTCGAACAACCTAACAATCACAGAAAACTTCACTCTGTCGAGAACCAAAGACGAGTACATGGACGACGTTGAAAGGTGTCTCAAGTACATTGCCGATGGGGAAAGCTACGAGGTTTGCTTGACGGCGCAAATGAAGAGAAGAGCACTCTTCCGAGATCCACTCGAGCTGTACTCCGTGTTACGCAGAACAAATCCGGCACCTTATGCTTCGTGGCTACACTTTGGCAACGAAGGCCCGTGTGTTTGCTCGTCATCGCCGGAGAGGTTCCTCCAACTCGACAGGACTGGGACTCTAGAAGCAAAGCCGATCAAAGGAACAGTTCCTCGCGGGAAGTCATCTCTGGAAGACGAGATGCTACGATCGCAACTCCGAGAAAGGTACATACTCTTTGACGATCTCTACGTGAACTTTGGGTCGTTGTGCAGCGAGAAGGACCAGGCCGAGAATCTCATGATCGTGGACCTCCTACGCAATGATCTCGGTCGCGTTTGCACCGCGGGCTCGGTCCACGTCCCACATCTGATGGCGGTGGAAACATACTCCACGGTTCACACCCTCGTGAGCACCGTGCGAGGCAAGAAGAGGGCCGACGTGACACCGATCGACTGCGTAAAGGCTGCGTTTCCAGGCGGCTCCATGACGGGAGCCCCGAAACTGAGAACGATGGAGATCCTGGACGCCGTGGAGACTTGCCCGAGGGGAGTTTACTCGGGCGCCATTGGGTTCTTCTCGTTCAGCTCCTCGTTTGATCTCAGCATTGTCATCCGGACGCTGGTGATCCAGGGGGGAGAGATCTCTCTGGGCGCTGGAGGAGCCATCGTCGCGCTCTCGGATCCGGAGAGCGAGTACGAGGAGATGCTGCTCAAGGCGAGAGCGCCCACCAGAGCAGCGGAGATCGCGAGCGAGGGAATGGGAGAAAATTGAATTTGAATTTATTCCTGGATATAGGGTGAATCTAATCTGATTCTCCTTCTTCTAGGGCTTTAGGCTCAATGGCGTACGAGCTCCTGGCGCAGGCTCGCGGCGACGTCGAGGATGCGCTCGCTAGGATGCTGCACGCCAAGAAAGCCGGCACGGCGAGAGTGGAGCTTCCGGAGCTCACGACGGCGGCATCGATTCTCCTGCTCAACTTGCGCCAGGTGAGAATTTGCCTTCTCCTTCTCTTGATAAGTCGCAATGTGGATTCTTGTAGATTAATCGAGTGATTCTTCAAGAGGAGGACAGAGTCAAGGTCGAGACCGAGGCCGCCAAGAGTCCGCTGGATCGGACCACGCTCCAGCTCCACAATCTGCTCTACGAGAAGAACCATTACCTCAAGGCGATTAAGACGTGTAAGGATTTCAAGTCGAAATATCCCGACATAGAGCTCGTTCCCGAGGAAGAGTTCTTCCGGGATGCGCCGGAGGAGCTCCAGTCTGATCCTGCCATCAAGAATGATCCACACAAGCTTATGCTGCAGCGTCTCAACTTTGAGATGCATCAGGTAAGGAAGTTTTTACATTGTTTTCTTTCTCTTTAACTCGGTGCTCTTTCCAGAGAAAGCAACTATGCAAGCAGCGGGAACTACTAGAAGCTCGCAAGAAAATGCTGCAAGAGAACATTGCAAACCGGAAGAAATTCCTCTCGAGCTTGCCATCCCAACTCAAGGCTCTCAAAAAGGCTTCTTTGCCTGTCCAACAACACCTTGGGATCTTGCATACCAAGCGCTTGAAGCAGCATCAGCTTGCGGACTTGCTTCCTTCTCCTCTTTATATACTTTACGTGCAGCTCATGTCGTATAAAGAGGCCTTTGGAGAGCCGATTGACGTCGAGATCATCGGAAGCGCTAAAGAAGCTCAAGCATTCTTGAAGCAAAGTACAAACCGAGAATCAGGTTATTTTTAACGTCTTCTGTTTTCTTTCAGAAGCTAATGACTTGTAACTACAGGTCCTGGGTCTTTCGATGAGCAACACAAAGCAGACGATGAAGTACTGGATGATGATGACGAGTCTCAACGCCGGAGGAAAAGAACTAAGAGAACACATGATGTGGAAGCTGCTGCTGATGCGGGCGTACTGCACGCCCATCCCCTGTCAGTCATTCTCCAGATCTATGACGATGACGATCGAGGAGGGGAGAAAGCCGCTAAGCTACTTACTCTCAAATTCGAGTATCTGCCCAGGTTAAACGTCGTTTGTGCTGGAGTTGAAGGACATCAAGATAGTGATGTTCATCTCCTTGCCAACCTTTTCCCCGACGATGCAGGAGTCACCTTGCCGAACCAGGTAGAAGTTTTGTTTTGATAAGTTTATTCTGGCTGACCATTGCTCTTTCTCTCAGGCCGGAAAAATTCTTGCTGAAAATAAGCTGGTGGAGGACCCAAAACGAACATCAAGATGGTATAAGTGGGCTCAACATTTGGCAGGCATTGACTTCCTCTCTGAGACGCCACAATATCTATGTCATCAGGAGACAGCAGAGGTTATCAAGACGTCCATATCCTCTGGGCTAGCCGTCTACAGGCAACAGCATCGCGTGCAAACTGTTTTGCAGCAACTTCGGAACAGAAAGAAGTCCCAGCTGGCCTTAAAGTGAGTTCTAGAAGGTGTGTGTCGCGTTTTCTTTTGTGATCTCTAAAACTCTTTGTTTGTATGCAGGGGCCAACTTGACTCGTTGGAAAAATTGGCTATTCCGCCTCTCAAGTTCAAGGCCGTGCATTGGGCAACTCATGTACCAAAATGCCTGCTCAAGCGCTGGACGCAAGCGTCCGTCGTGGAGACACTGGCACTGGAAAGTGAAGCTGGTAGAGAGGATGGCGAGCTTCCTCCAGCCGCTATATCGAAGCCGGCGTCTTCAAACGAAAAAGGAGCCAGCTCAAAAAAGACCGCTCGCTTTGAGGCTCCGGAAGCTCAGCTCCCGGCCCCAAGGCAAGATGCACTACAACCACGGCAAATCGATCTCGAGCTGTCGATCTTTTCTTCGGCCGAGTTTGCGGACGAAGAAATGGAGGAGTGTGAGCCGGATGTCCCGGAAGGAAAGGACGTAGATCTGAGCTGCTCCAAGCAGAGCTGGAAGGATTATGGCTCTCGTGCTTTCAATGCTGTACTAAGGAGAGACGACGATGCTTCAGGACGGGCGTTTGAGCTCGAAGCACAGGTAGACGTTTTTCCTTTTGTTTCGTTTCTTTCTTATGACTGATTATTTTTTCCCTTAGGTGACGATAGCTATGGACTACCCCGCGCGTCCTCCACTCTTCCAGCTGAGGCTCTTGTCCGGAAGCACTCAATGCTTTCATCATCCACCTTCCGCAGGGGTAGTGGACGTGACGGAAGCACGCATTCAAGGCTCGGACTGGTTCAATGAGCTACGCGCAATGGAAGCCAAGGTAGCTCTCGTTTTCTTTTCTTGCTCCATCGCCAATGTGATCCCTGGATTTGTTTCGCAGATAAACTGCCAGGTTTTGGAGAAGCTCCCAGAGTGGGAAGAAGACAGCGTCCTAGCGCATCAAATGGCACTCTTGGCCTATCTCTTTGACACCGAGGTTGATGGAGAGCTGGCGAGCAGCCTAAGAAGGATGGATAGCACGACGCGATTGCATCGAGGTAGAGACAGGAGAATCGATCTCAATCTGTAATCCTTTCGAGACAACAACAACAACAGCTATTTGCTCGAGGGTGGCAAGGAGCTCATCGCGGAGGTTTGTCGTTGCGATGAGGTACTCGCCTAGTCGTAAATGTTGCCGTTGCTGGAGAAAGAGCTCAAAGCGTTTTTTGGTCAAAGCTTTCGAGGTCAATCTTCGCCAAGGAGAATCGACAGTATTGTCAAGTCAAAAAATATTCACAACTATTTAACGTAGATTAGGTTTGTTTAATTAAAGGTAATTGAGTTAAAGCTCATACAATTTTTACTTGGAGCTGAGGAGAGGGAGATGTGATAGTGAAAGTGAGGGTGATGGGGAAATAGATCTAGAGTGGTGATTGGTGCTTGAGAAGGTACTCAAACTTTTGGTGATTGAGATGGTGATTATTTGAGTGGTTTCCATTCCTCCATTTCTTCGTCCGCAAACTCGGCTGAAGAAAAGATCGACAGCTCGAGATCGATTTGCCGTGGCTGTAGTGCATCTACTAAGGAGAGACGCACGATGCTTCAGCGCGTTTGAGCTGGAAGCACCTTTTCTCATGTTTCGTTTTTTCTGTACAATGATTTGTTTTTCTTCCCTTAGGTGTCCGAGCTCTTTTCCAGCTGAGGCTCTTGTCCAAAAGCACTGAATGGTTTCATCCTCCGTCCGCAGGAGTAGTGGACGTGACGCAGGCACGCATTTAAGGCTCGGACACTCTACCTCCTACTGTATGCCGACGAGGTGAACTTGGAAAAGACTAGGTCTTTGGATCAACTCACCACCTTTCCCGATGATAAAGGTCATCAAGTACAAATACCTGGGAGTTCAGCTCCACCATCAACCCACGTGGATGGACCCAAAGGCATCGCAACCGCAATCGAACCCATGCAGACTTGGCGCATTTTCCAACGTCCGATCGCAGCATCCGACGGCTGAGAGCCGCGCATTGGCCTTGTGGCTGGTATCCATGGGACCCAAACATGTGGCGCGTGTTTGCGGCACAAAAATCTTACCATGCTATGCTCATCCTTTTATCAATGGGACGTCATTACTTGATGCGGATCTCCACAGTCCATCTTGATATCTCCTTGGTTTGGCGAGCAGCCTAAAAAGGATGCTTTGCACGACGTGATTTCATTGCTAGAGACAGAAGAATCGATCTCGATCAATCTTTGCCAGGCATGAATCTACAATAATCGAAAAATAATGTTCTTGAGTAGATTGGGCTGGTTGGCGAGGAGGAGTTTTGACAGGTGCCAGACGCGCTGCTGAGAAACGCGGCTTACTTTCACTAGCCCTCAATATATCACCGTCGCCTTCCAAAAGAACTGTTGCGCCCACCTGTAGTGAGGAGACTAATAAGAAAAATGGCAGAATTTAGTATGGTTTGCATCTGTTCCGGACTGCCTCAGGCGTAGATGGCTGTAGGCGAGAGTGATGGACGAGCCTCAGTGCAGACGCTGCGATAGAATCAATCAGTCAAGAAAAATCGTCAGCACCAAAGTTTTTCTAGCCAACCAAGATCTTCCAGGAATGCATACTGTCAGATTCGAATGGACGCAATGGCGAATTAGATGCTGGCAAGGTGATGCGCCAAGTGATAAAGATGGATTAGCATTGTGCTTCAACATATGGAACTTGGCTAGAAGGAGCAATTACCGGTGCTTCAGAAGGAGGGCATAGGTGCCTTCAAAAACACTAAGTGCTTTAATGGAGAAGGTCCCTTAGTCAAGGCAATGGAAAAGGTATGGATGTTATCTATGAGGGTTTTAATGGCGATGATGGATTTGGAAGGGTGTTTATGGTGGTGGCAAAACTTTTATTTCATCTGGAAATTGATATAAAAGACTTATACTCAATATAAAATGTTTACAATCACATGTCAAGCACTTCAATAGAATTATAGCCTTTTATACCCAGCCAAGCCTCAGTCTCTCTCCCTGGCAATGATGTGATCTCCTCTTCCACTGTATATTTGATTCCATTACCATGTTCTTTTGGTTGGTTCTCCGCATTGCTGCCAACACACCATCAAGGCGGCGATCTCATCTTGTAGATACAATTTTGAAAGGTTTAGGGCAAAGTTTATATTAAACCAAAAAACAAAGCATATTCCTCTGTTACACGCTTCGTTTCTTGAGCGACTTGAGGTGCACATTGAGCTCGGTGGTGTTGATGAACGAATCCTTGGTGATCTCGAACGAATCGTACCTGAGGAACATCTCCGCCACGAACTGCATCGTGATGAGCTCCGCGACATCCTTGGCGGGGCACTGCTTGTTGCTCGAGGAGGGCGATTCGGTCTCCCGCCCGTTGGACCAGACGAGGTAAGGCAACACCGCCTTGCCGCGCTCCCCCAGGAACCTATCGGCCACGAACTTGTGCGGCTCCTCGAAGACCTCTGGATCGCGCATCACGAAGTACTGGTGCCCGCCCAGGAGCTCGCCCTTCTTGATCTGGAACGCGGCGTCGTGGGACTCGATCACCATGTCCTCGCGCGCGCGGCCATAGATGTAGAAGATCGAGGGCGTGAGCCGCAGGGTCTCGAGCACGGTGGATCGCAGCAGCGGCATCTCCAGGAGCGCCTGGGTGGTGATATTCACGCCCTCTTCTCCCTGGGCGCGGTTCTTGTGCACAGCCGATCGCACCTCCGCAGCGATCTTGGCCTGGAAATCCTCGCCCAGCAAGCCCAGGTAGTAGATGAGCGCCGGGATCATCTTGTGCAGGCCGAGGCGCGCATTGATCCCCAGGATGAGGATGAGCTGGTGGACAGTCTCCTCGCGATCCAGCCCATACTTCTTCTCCGCGAGATCCAGCACCTCGGTGGCGTGCGTCCGGTAGAAATTCGCAAGCGCCTTGTACTGCTTCTTCACGAGAAACGGTGGCAGCCGGAAGGTGTGGAACAGCAGCTCCTCCAAGAAGTGTGGAAGCGGTGTGTGAGCGATCCCGGCGAAGTTGACCCCCGTCCATAGCTGGTATGTGTCCCGGAACTTCGGTCCCAGGCTCGCCGGCCCCGGCTCCGCGGGATCTTTGTGGACGATGGTGCGCAGCAAGAACTTGGTGATCATCGAGTCCGACGAGGCGAACACCTCCGCTTTGCCCGACTTGGCGATGCGCTCCTCCCAGGATCCGGCGGTCTCGGCGAAGACTTTGTTATACTCCGGGATGATCCGCGAGGAGTTTACGTGCAGGAGCTCGAAGATGAGGTCCTTGTAGGCGGTGTGCTTGGCCTCGGAGGTGTCCAGGTATGGGAGGACCCGGTAGCCGCCGGTGAAGGCCAGGTTGGGGATGTAGGGGCCGAGCAGGGTGTCCGACTTGTCCACCTTGGAGTTGTCCAGGAGGACCGAGAAGCTCTTCTGGTCGAGCAGGATGATCCCGCGGGAGTCCGGGTAGCCGGGAGGCCCCGGGGAGTAGTTCACGCGGAAGACGGTGCTCTTGTGCTGCTCCATCCGGATGCGGAAGAACTCGGTGTCTCCCTGGAACCAGTAGAAGTCGAGGCGGTCCTTGACGGCTCCCAGGACCGGCAAGCCATAGCTTCCAGGTACTTCTTTCAGTGGCTTGCTTGGCTTCGATGGATCTGATGGCGCTGCTGCTGCTGGCTTAGACATCGACATTGGTAGCGGGGAGACCGAGCAGAGGTTGCTGCAATGCATTTTTTCGCTTGTCAACGGATCGAGAGATCTAAAGAGATTAAGTGCTTACCTGTGGAGGCGATATTTTTTGGGGCGAAATCAAGGTAGTGGAGTGATTTAATATATAGTCGTCTTTCTTGACTGTAGCCTGTAGCTCTTATGGCACATTTTGTGACGTAGTCAAGTTTACCTCCTCGCAATTGTTTAACAAGCTACTGTTTCCTCGGGAAGCGAACAGACAATCTTACAGTGAGGAGTTAACTTCTTGTTTTGTCGCAAGCTTTGTACTAACAAGAGTGCTGCCGAGTTTCCAGGATCCAGATCCAGCAGCCGTGCCGCCGCCGCTCGCCCTCTTTGCGCGTCTCCGTAGCTCACCCAAGCACCCAGCAAGCACGTCCAGTCCACAACGTCGGCCGCGAAAGGCATGGTTTCCACGAGCTCCTGGCAGGAATCGAGGTAGCCGGACCGGGCGAGCGCGTCCACCATGCAGGAGTAGTGCTGCTTCGACGCTCCCAGGCCAAAGTCGGCTCTCATCGAGACCAAGTGACGCCTCCCCTCGGCGGGCTTGCCGTGGTGGCTGCAAGCGATCAGGACCGACACGAAACAAGCGGGGTCTGGTTTCAGAGCCGCTGCCTTCATGGCGTCGAATGTTTGGAAAGGTAACGAGCTTCGGGGGTCGTCGTTGCTGCTGCAGCTGTTGTGAGCGGCGAGCATTGCGCTCCAGAGCACTAGATCTTGGTCCGGGCTCGTGTCAAACATCCTCTTGGATCGCCCGAAATCTCCTTTCTGGGCAAATGCCGCAAGCATTACGGTCCGTGAGACGACGTCGTGCTCTGGCATTCCTTTGTAGAAAGTGTTGGCCATGGCTGAAAGAGACTGGGATTTTTGCGCCGCTAACAACGATGTCCATGAGACGAGATCCCTCTCAGGCATATTATCAAACGTTTGTTTGGCATCCTCCACATGCCCATCCTGGGCATACAGAGAAAGCATAGAGTTCCAAGTTAGGAGATTCTTCAGTGGCATCTCCTCAAAAATCTGTCGAGCTCTTTGCATAAACCTGTGCCTTGTAAAAGCTGATATCATGGTATTACAAGTGATGAGATCTAACTCTGGAATAGAATCAAACAACTTCGTTGCATCGTTAATATGCCCCAACTGGTTGTATACTCCTAAGAGTGTGTTCCATGACACCAGATCACACACGGGCATGTTGTTGAGGATGGTTTTAGCGTATTCGAGATTCCCTGCTTCTACACAAGCCGAAAGCATTGCGTTACATGAGCAAAGATTCCTTTCAGGCATGCTATCAAACAAAACTCTGGCTTCTCTGAAATGACCAGCTTGGGCATATGCAGTGAGCATCAGAGAGTACGTGACAAGATCCCATTGAGGCATACGCAAAAACATTCTGTTGATTTCTGTCACAAGAAAATGACTCGAAATTCCGTTTAAGAAAGCATTCCAGACCGTAATAGTTCTCTCCGGCATGCTCTCGAATGCGTGCTTCGCCATTGCAATGTACCCTGCTTTGGCATATCCAGACATAAGTGACGTCCACGAGAGAAGATTCCACTCGGGCATCCCATAGAACACACCCTCTGCTTCAAAAACCTTTCCTGATTCTATTAACATTTCAACCATGGCAGCCGAAGAACTCAAGTCTAATTCCGGCATGCTCTCCAGCATTTGTTTTGCCTCTAAAATATGCCCTGATTGGGCATATGCTACTAAAACAGCAGATGCCAGTTTTAGATCTACGTGAGACACATTTTGAAGCAAAGTTTGAGCGTCCTCAAACAGATCTACTTGAAACAGCATTGTGATCATAACCGTGTACAAAACGAGGTTGTGCTCCGGCACCATATCAAAAATCTTCTTTGCACCGTCGACATGCCGGGCTTGAGCATATGCTGTTAAGATTGACATCCAAGAGAACAAATCCCTCTCTGGCATGGCATAAAACGCGTCTTTAGCACATTCAAGAGAGGCAGAACATACACACACGCCAAGAAAAATGTTGTAAGACAACCAGTTCCGCTGCGGCATTTCTAGGAAAAACTCTCTTGCGAGTTGTAAGTCCCCAGCACGCGCGATGGCGGTAAGTGCTGTAGTCCAAGACAGCAAATCCCTTTCCGGCATCTCGTTGAAAAGAAGCATAAACCCATCAAGGGGAGTGTTTTGAGCAAAAGCAGCGAGCGCGGAGTTCCAGCATACGAGATCTCGGAGTGGCACGCCATCAAACATTACTTTCGCTTGCTCCAAATCCCTCATTTTGGCAAATGCCGTGATCATCCTTGTCCACAGCACGAGATCTGGCTCAGGATGTTTGTCAAACAGTGCCTTGGCGTGATCGGTGTGGCCTGATTGAATGTAGGCGTTGATCATGAAATCCCACGTAAAGATCGAACATCTTGAGTGGATCGTGTCGAAAATCTCTCGCGCGGCATCGATGCCGCCACAATTGACGTGCATTTCCACAAGCTTTTCCTGCAAGAAGACGTCCTTGGCTGCCGCAGCTGGCGATCGGAGACTCTGGTCGATGATCTTCGCCTCAGAGAAGCTTGTGCATCGAGAAATCGTCTCCAGCCACTGCCCTCTACTGATCATCAATCAATCAAAATGCCCAAGAAATACTTCGATTAGGTCAAAGTCTTTGGGACAAAATGTTTTCTCTCAGGGTTTTCCTGGAGGGAGAGGAGAAGCCGCGCTGCGATGGCGAGGAGGAGATCGAGCAGCGCGTAGCAATCTTTCGAGGCGCTGTGCATCTCTTTCGCGATGTTTTCGAGAGACCTGGCATTTCCTTTGGCAGCCTGCCGGTACGCTCCTATCTTGTGTTCCCTGCCTTAAAAACCACCCTAGTTCGTTTGGCAGGACGAGCGCAGCGAGAATCTGTGCGTCCTTGGCGTCCCCAGCGCGATCGAGCCCGCTGAATTCTTCCAGATTGCGAGCTCTTTCTCGGACAAGATCGAAAAACTCCAATGCATCAGGTTTGAGAGAAAATGAATGCCTTCTTTTGTGAAGTTTAGTGTTTCCAATCTTCCAGGAATGATACAAGCCAGATTATGGTGCTCCAATTCGACTCTCAAAGCTCCGCTGATGCGTTCTATCATTGTTTCGATGTGGATCTTCTTCCATTGAAGGTGATACATGTAGTTTGCTTGAGTTCACGCTTGCTGACCTTTCCTCCTTGTTTGATAGAATGCCATTTGCCACGTACTGTACACAAGGGATGTCTACTTCACAAATTCCTTACAAGACGCATGCGAAGCTCCTCCTGGATTGACAGAAATCCCGACTTGCACATTTTGTCTCCGTGAGTGTTTCAAAAACTAGAAAGAATTTGACACTGTTTTGATTGCAGAGCGGCTTGACGAGCACATAAGCGGCGTTCCTGCGAGAAAAGTCGACTCTTTTGATCCGCGAAACTCCTCTTGCTTAGTTCGTATGCTACTCGTTTTCAGTGTGTGCTTATACACCGCTAAGTTCTTGGCAGGTCTGTTGGTACAGTCTTCAATCGGAGAATACGACGTGCTCCGTTTGTCCCACGAGTGAGAACCTTTGGGTCTGTGTGATATGCGGCTTCGTAGGCTGCGGAAGGTATTCGATCATACGCTTCAAACCAATGAATCTCTTCTTTTTCGTTCTTCCTTTCACTAGGTACAAGGAAGGCCACGCTATAAGGCACTGGAAGGAGACCAGGCACTGCTGTTCGCTAGAGCTCGAGAGCCAGAGAGTGTGGGACTACGTGGGGGACAACTACGTACACCGCTTTATCCTTTCTAAAACAGATGGAAACTTGATGGAGCTAATGGCTCCCTCGAGCGATGAATGCAGCGGCTGTGAGTGTAGCGGTGGTTCTGACGCGTTTGAACGTTCGTGCGACACCAAGCTCGACAGTGTACGTCATGTTTCGTTTCGTGTTTTGCTCGTCATGTGAAAACGCAACCGGTTGACTTGCAGCTAAAGAAGGAATACGAAATCCTCCAGGCCAAACAGTTGGAAAGCCAGAGCAAAGTAAGTGTTCTCGCGGAATCTTAAAAAGCTAACACTCCCGCTCGCCTTTTTTCTTCCAGTACTATGAGGGACGACTCGTCCAGATTGTGGAGGAGCAAGAACATGAAATAGCCTCCGCGATTGAGAGGCAAGCGTCGGCTCGGCTGCACAAGCTCCAGCTGAGGCTGGATAAAGCGGAAAAGGAGAAGAACTTCCTTACTCAGGTTACGTTTTTGTCATACCACACTCCGCCTTGATCTTAACACTCGCCGTGTTCTACAGCTGAACCAGTGCCTCGCTGATAACCAAAAGAAATGGGAGAACAAGTGCCATGACTTGGAGGAAAGGTGAGTTTTTATTTCCATGTTCCAGCAAGCTATAATCCAGGGACACCCTCGCAGGGGATCAGCAACATTGAAACTTAAGGATCAAAGAATTGCAGAGCTTGAGGAACAGGTCGGTAGCTCTTGTGAAAATGTGGTAAAAAAAAAAAAAATCGCGTTAATCAACTCTTGTTCCTGCAGATGCAAAGCCTGATAAAGCAATTGGAGTAGCATGCTTTGTTAATCAATGTATAAACGTTCCAAGGATTAAGATAATAGTAGGGTGTTATTGTCTTTAAACATGACCTAAACTAAGTTTATCTACAAAAACTGTTGTCCCGGGCATGGCGACAAAGTTTTTGGTATTTCTTTTTTTCCTTCTTTCCCTAGGCTATAGGCAATACATTCGCGGCGATGGAAGGAAATGGGGGCGAGATGAATGCCAAGCCCGTGGAGGTGATCCAGCTATGGACGGGGCCGAGATCGCTGAGTACAAGCCTCATGTACTCCTTCGCGCAGGTGGAGATCTAGATTTCTTGAGCTTGCTTTGCTCCTGTGAGTAATTTCGCGATATCTATCATCGCTGTGATGCCAGCGAGACGATACCGAGGTGCTGGATGAGCCGCTCTATGCGCATTACCTGCGCGTCAGCGGCGCGGAGAGGCCATATCGGGACGAGCTCTTGACGCAAATGGTGAGAATTTCGCCTCTTCCTTCTTCTTGGAGCCCCTTATTCCAAAGTTTGGTGTGAGTAGGAGCCGGATGGGAGCAAAGTCGTGGAGGCGATCTTCGGTCCATGCAAGATGAAGTATCGCTTCTGCAAGGTACGAGAAAGCTCACTCCTTGTGAGCATCCACCGATCCAGTTCGCTCGAGTTTCTTGCAGCAAATGGCCAAATTCCGGACACCTTGTCTCACAGATGACATTCTCAAGGGGAAGCATGTCATTCTCATCAGAGATCCGCTGGCGATTCTCGTTAAGTTCCTCATAGAATGAATGTTTGAGGTCGGTGTCTCACGCTTCGTGTTTGCGTACAGCCTTCTTTCGATGACGTTGTTCCCGCGACTCTCAAGGATCTCCAATGGTCGTCGCTTCTCAGTATGTACAGTGACCTCGAAAGCATTGGAAAAAGTCCACCCGTGATTGACGCGTCAGACCTTCAAAAGGATCCCGAGGTATGACTTCCACGTTTCTCACAGATTATCATTGGTGCTCTCTTTTTCTTTTCTATCTTCCACGCTTCTCACAGATTACCATTGGTGCTCTCTTTTTCTTTTCTATCTTCCACGCTTCTCACAGATTACTATTGGTGCTCTCTTTTTCTTTTCTATCTACAGGGCGTTCTACGAGCTTTGTGCGCGGCACTTGGCATGGACTTCCAACATGCCATGCTCAAGTAAGCTGGATCTTAGTTTTTTCTTTTGGTTGACTCAAACTGTGAAACTTTTAGGTGGAATGCTGGTCCCAAACCAGAGGATGGGATGTGGGCAAAGTGGTGGTATAGCTCTGTTCACAGGTCTACGGAATTCTCGCCATTGCCGCTCCATCCACGAAAGGTCTGTATTTACCTTTGAGAGATCCTGTCTAAGTATACTGGATATTTCTTCGTTCTTTTGCAGCCTTTCCCAAAGGCTTTATATACACTCTTGGAGGAATGCCGACCAATTTATAAGATGCTTAAGCGGCATGCTTTGCAGCCACAGGCACCCGAGGCTCCACCATTGCCGGTGCCGTCCAACAAGAATATCTTTGCCTGGGTCGGAGACGAGATAGTTCCCCGAGATGACGCTAAGGTACAAACCTCTTTTCTAACCTGGAGCTTCTTTTGTTTAGATTCTCGTCCTATCAGGTTTCTGTGTTTGATTCTATCGTGCAAGGTGGAGACGGTGTCTGGGAAGGGCTCCGCATTTACAAAGGGAAGGTTTTCAAGCTGGGGGAGCATTTAGACAGGTTGGAGAACTTCTTTTTCTTTCGAATTTGACATGCATGCTTGAACAGGTTGTTTGATTCGGCCAAGGCGATGGCATTCACAAACCTTCCGAGCCGTGACTTTGTAAGAAACCTTGTTCGAGACTCGGATTACTAACGCGTGAGTTTGCAGGTGAAACGAGCCCTGTTTTCGACATTGATTATAAATGGGATGTTTGACAACGCTCACGTTCGTCTCACACTGACAAGAGGAATGAAGGTTTTTTTTCTTACTTTTGAAATATTAGAAGGCTGTAAACACGTACGCAGTGCTTTTGTATAGGTTACGTCTGGAATGAGTCCTGCATTCAACTTGTATGGCTGCACACTTCTAGGTACGACTTTTCTCGACATACAAATACTTAATTGACAGGAGATTCTTCCAGTTGTCGCTGAATGGAAGCCACCGGTGTATGACAATAATGGAGGCATTCGATTAATTACTGCTTCAACCCGTAGAAACTCTCCAAACGTAAGTAAGGTCGTCGGGTTTTGGTTTTTTTAACTTATGTTGCGTCCCTTGTTGTAAACAGTGCCTAGATTCCAAGATTCACCATAACAATCTCATCAACAACATACTTGCGAAGGTCTGTTTTTCTGTGATGTCCTTTTCGAAGATTCACGCATAGCGTTTTTCATAGGTGGAGGGAAACACTGCTGGTGTGGACGATGCTATAATGCTCGACTGCGACGGCTTTGTGTCTGAAACAAATGCTACAAACATAGTTAAGCTGGGAAAACGATTTGCGATTCTAGATTCTTATCGTTTCTTCTGTTTGACAGTTCATGGTGAAAAAGGGACGTGTTTTGACGCCGTCGGCGGATTACTGCTTACCAGGAATCACACGAGAAACCGTAACAACTTTCCAACTGAGCTTCTCATCTCATTAACTCCTTGACTCTCCTTGTCCAGGTTATTGAGCTCGTGAAACAAGAAAATATCGCAATGATCGAGAGAAGGATTTCATTGACAGAGTTTCACACAGCAGACGAGGTAACCCGTCATCATCTAGATGGACTTAAGAGTTGTGTTCTTCCAACGCTATAGGTGTGGACAACGGGAACAATGGGAGAGCTCACACCGGTATTTACTAGCTTTCCATATCCTTTCATGTGTGAATTTGCAAAACTCCTGATGATCCAGGTCATAGAGATCGATGGCCGACGAATTGGAAGCTCACGTCGCATTACCTCGAGGATCCAAGCCGCTTATAAAGCTCTCACAGACAAAGAAGGCGAGCCCATCCCTTGCAAGTGAGAGATAGCCAAGTACCATGTATTTCTTTTCTCAAGCCACCTTCTCGGTGACTTTAGTCTCGCTTC